CAGATAAGTATTTGTTCTTAATTCTAGCGTGGCAAAGAATCTAATTAAATTCTTCCAACAAAATAATCTCCAAGCACGCGATGATGTGGTTGACTGTTGTGTTCTCCAAATGTGTAACCATTCATCTTCAGAAATATTTGCACCTAGCTCTCTTTCCCATTTCAGTTTGACATATGAAGTATTATTCCCTCTTCTCTCCATGAGTTGGAGATATATTGTAGATATTATTCTATATTTCTTTGAATTGTAGATTCCAATCATGGTTCTTATTATTCAATTTTCATCCAAATTTACATTGTACTTTATTTATTTGTCAAAAAAGTCCCTTATTTGCACATATCTGAAATGGTCCTGGTTACTTAATTCATATTTTTGCTTAATCTCTTGGAAACTCATCAAATTCCTGTTTTTTATTACTGTACATATTGCTGTTATTCCACTTGTAATCCAGTGTTTAAACCTCTGGTCAAGAGCACTAGGGATAAAAATGCCTGTCATAGGCTATCCATTGAATTAGTCTAAGCTCTTTCTCCAGTCTATATTTTTGTACTAAATTAAACCACATTTTTAATGTATATCCACCTGTTCAATCATACTCATTGTTTCTTCTCTGTCCACAATAAGGCTTTGAATTTCTCTTAATTGTACAAATTGCTCTAAATTTTCTATTTTGCTACATAGTCTTTATCACACCAGCAAATTACAGGTCTAATTTGTGCTGCATGAAAATATTCCTCCCTTGTTTTTCTCAATCTGTAATGTTTCAAATTTAATCCTTGGTCTATGACCATTCCATATAAACCCTGAAATGATTTTATCCCATATTTTAAATTGTTTCTTAGGTATCTCAATGGGTGAACAGGTAGAGAATACGAGGGAGAATATTCATTTGTATGGTCTCTATTCGAGAACCAATGTCTAATGGAAGGACAGCCCATCAATCCATATCATTCCTAATTTCCTTATCTACTTTGATATAATTGGCTTCATATAATTTGTACATTTTTCGTGTTAAGGTGACCCCAAGATATTTCATTTTTGTTGCACTCCAATTCAAATTATATTTTAGTTGTATGATTTTAGATGGAAAGTAGTTGAATGTTAAGACTTGCGTTTAAGTCAGATTTAGCTTGTATCCCGAGCAGAAACCAAATGTCTCAAGTTGGTTGATTAATATGGGAATACATATGTCTGGGTCCTCTAAGAAACAGATCACATCGTCAGCAAAAAGCCCAATGGTATGTACTTCTCTCCTAACCTTTATCCCTTTAAGATCTTTATTCTGCCTGATTGCTTGTGCCAGGGGCTCTATGAAAATTGCAATTAGCTCACACTAGCTAGCTAACTAAGCTAGCTAACATTACTGTATGCACGTGTGGTGTTGTGAGTCAATCATTGATCCTATGGTGTGCAAGAGTATGTGTTTCTTGGATGCCTGGAGATTTGTTTGTTTTAAGTTCATTTACTGCTTTCTCTATTTCTGCTTTTGTAATGGGTGCGGTCAGAAGGTTGTTCTGATTTTTCCCAATTGCTGGTAAGTCTAGTTTCTCAAGAGAAGCTTGCATTTGGTCTGTGTCAGCAGAAGGAGGTTGGCTATACAAATCCCCATAGTAGTTCATAAATTTAGTTTCAATCTCTTTGGGTTCAATGATTATCTGATTTGTATTTATATCCCTTATCTTATGAATTGTCCTGTCACCCTGTTGTTTTTTAAAATCTTTTTGCCAATAATTTGGTTGCCTCCACACTTCATAATTTCTGTCGTTAATATTTCATCTATATTTTCCCTGATTTCTTTAATTCTTGGAAGCAGTGGGGAGTCTCGTGTAGTTTTATGTTGCTGTTCGATTTAAAACAGCTTTTTCTTTTTTATAGGCTTCCCCTTTAACATTTTTAATTGCTGCTGTCTTTGCAATAAGTTTTCCTCTTATAACTGCTTTAAGAGCATCCCACAAAATCACAGGGGTAACCTCTCCATTGTCATTTTCCTTTTGATAGATTGTAATGTCTTTTTTATCTCTTCCGCTATTGATTTGTTTTTTAGTATTCCTACATTTAACCTCCATAATGTACTTCTACTGCGATTTTAATTTAACTTAAAACTTAAACTGCACAGTGATCCGATACATCTGCTCTTTGAATTTCACATTTATAGTTCATTTTTATTCCTAAAAAAATAGTCAATTCTAGCATAGCTGTCATTAGGGGCTGGTGTAATTCCCTCCAAGTATCAACTATACCAAAGTCTTTAAATGTTTTCTTCACTTTAGTAACATGGTTGGTACTTGTTCTTGTTTGTTGTGTCCAGATTACTATTTATACACATATCAATATTCCATCCATTTGGGGGAAATAATTGAGTAAACCACACAGCTGTGTTCCTCTTTCTTTGGAAAGAGGTGGTGCTTGTTTCCTCATGTTGGCCTCATTTATACTGAGGATGTTTCTTCTTGCAAGTTAGAGCATCGCTGTTTACTTCACTGACAAGCGTTGGAGTGTCCAGAACAAGGCTCTCAGTTATTCACTATAACCAGATATCTGCTGCACAGAGAAACACTGCCACGAGCAAGGATGCCTTTCTCCGCTTGCTATGGACTGACTCTCCTGTGTTTAACCATGCCTCTTTTCCTCTTTGCACAAGGTGAGTGTATGAATAATAAGCGTTTGAAGGTTAACTTACATGGTTAGGAAAAATCTATTGATGTATCAATGCAAACAATCAAAGGGAAAAGACTTAGGCTTTACTTCAACATTGTTGCATCACTGCTGCTCCTCTGTTGATGCAGTTTATCTGTGTTTTGGCTGATGCAGCGGCAATGGGTGTTTTGGTCCCTTTAAAGCCTACAGAGCTTTGCACAATTGCTTTAAGATTCTCTCGAGACATTACAACACATTCAAATAGTCTGCTAGGAACAATAATGTCTAATATGTTTTCTTTCTCAAAAAAGTATAATATCCACATTAAAGTTAGTAAAAAGGCATCTACTCCTTCTACCTCATTAAATATCCCAGTCTCTCTGAATATGCAAATTCTGTTCATTTCAAGATGTCTCCTACTTCAGTGTAAAGTCCATTCTCCATGTATCTGCCCCTGTGGCTTAAAGATTCTGCATCACACTTGTATAAGTTGCATATTGGACCAATACTTACACTGAACACTAATATAATAATACTAATATTATTCTGTGTTGCTGTGTTCTTTGCAGTGGATCATCAGTGTAACAGGCCTTATCAAAGGACTGTAGGACACGTCAACCCCCCCTGCTGTATTGAAACCCAAAACGGCACCATTAAGGAATCTGTCAGCGCCTGCTACATACAGAATGAAAACACATTTTCTAATTGTAAAATACATGCTTACATGTAAGTCACTCACGCAAACTTTGCTTCAGTTTCTGTCGGTCTTTTTTCTTGTGGTGTGTCAAGACAGTGTCCCCTACAGAGCTGATCATGTGCAGACAAACCAGAATAATGTGAACGTGAGAGAGGGGCCAAGGTTTGGGAAACACACATATTTGCTTTCTTGCCAAAAGTTAGATAAGAAGATTAATACCACGTTCATGTCCGTGCGCTAAATATGCAGCTAAAGCCAGGAGGCACTTAGCGAGATTAGCTAATGTTTGTATATGTCTACAATCGGGAGGTGATAAGCTTAGTATAAAGACGTATAAGATAGATTTTTTTTAACCTTTGGACAGAGCTGGGTTGGCTGTTTCCCTATTTCCATTTTAAGCTAAGCTGACCTGACCGTCTCCTGGCTGTAGCTTTATATTTACTGTACAGACATGGGAGTGGTATCAATATTCTCATCTAACTCTCAACAAGAAAGTAATAAAAGTATTTCTCAAAATGTTGAAATCTTTTGACAAAACATCTGTATCATCCACTAACATATGATGTCATTGAGATGTAGTTTTGGAGACTTTGTGGATCCAAATTGGCCCTTGTGTCACTGTAGAGGTTTTTGTACATTGATCATATTTGGAAAAAAGAAAATCTGCCATTCATGTTTTTTGTTCGTTTTTCTGTCTCTTACCTGCAGATTTACCAAAGGGAATAAAACCTGGTGTGTGGATCCAACATCCTCGTGGCTCCAACGAAGACTCCAGAGATTAAGTACAGTAAGTCATTATCATATTTTTAACCCCTTCATTGGTCATTCGTCTGTTTCTAGATAGCAAATAGTTTATGCCAGAACACACTGTGTGGTGGGGTTTTTTGTATTTTGTCCCTGTAGATGTTCCAGGTTTAGCCGTCAAATCAAATGCAGCATTAATGGGGGAATTTGAATCTGTATAATATGGAACCTTTTCTCCCACAGAAAGGAATATGTTGCGTCACATTGTGAGAGACCTTCGACTGTCACAACAACGAGGATGCACCATGAAGTCTATGCAGAAAAACACTTTTTTCTAATTATTTTGAAAAAATTCTCAATTTTCTGTCTTTGTATACATTTATATATTTATATATATATGTTAATAATGTCTTTGTAGGTATCTTTATTGTCTTCTAAACTAATACGGTTTTGACCGTTGTTGTCTTGGTGCTGTTGGTCAATGATATAATGTATGTACACTTTATACCAATATGTTTCCTTGGAAATCTGTAAAACATATCAAAGGAAAATAAAACCTTAAGGTCTAGAGGAAAAACTTTTTTTAAATATTTTAAATGTTTTCATTGGTAAATAAAGAGGCTTCCATGATGATGATGATGATGTTGAAAATTTCACCAAACAAGATCCTTAAAATCATATGTCTTCCAACCTGTGGTCAGTCACAGACATGATTGTTGCATAGTTATTTGTGTGGACATGTTGAGAGACAGGGAAACTACCACGTTACATCATTTTTACAGTGTCCACATTTGCTTTTTAAAGCAGTAGAGGTGCAAAAGTACATGCATTCTTTACTCAAGTAGAAGTACAGATACTTGTTAAGAATTTGTATAAAAGACCCTGCTAAAAGTAGAAGTACTGATTGAAGCAATGAGCAAATTCTTGAAAAACTACATCAATTAAGTATTTGTACTGACTTACTTCCCACTTCTAGATATGGCAGTGTTGGTCCACCGCTTTAGTAGACAGCTCAACAATCGTGGGACAGATTGCCATTTAAATCTTGTACGGACACTGATGGTCCCCAGAGGATGAATGACTTTGGTGATCCCCAGACTTTTCCTTTCGAGCCACCATGAGATTCACATTTATAGTTTTAAGTGAAATTTCACACACAGCCATGTCCCCCACAGGATAAATTGTACTTACTTTGGTGGTCAAGGTCAAGCATGTAACATTTAGGAGGATCCACTGGCAGGAATGGAATATAATATCCATATTATTATCCGTATTCATTAGCTTATAAATCACCTGAAAATAAGAACACCCTGTGGTCTGGTCTAACTTATGTATCTTGTCTGGAATTTGGGGGGTGGAGTGCATATTGGTTATGCTCAAGTCTGTACAACAGCCAATGCAGATGTTTTGGCCATTACACTGCAGCTGTGCAGTTGTGTCCTACAGATCATCTCCCAGAGCACGCATTCCCTCTACAGCAAACACTCCGGCTTTACAACCGTCTTCATATTCTGTACCTGATTCAACAAAAGTTTGTTCAGTGACCCTCCAGAATCAGGCTCATTATCGTACCTCGACCCAGAATGCCTTTCTCCTCCAGGTTTGGAGTGTGTCTCGTGTATTTACTGCTGATCCTCCCCGAACAAGGTGAGTGTGGCTTTCACTAGTGGCGTCTTTTAAGGACAGCTGATAACAGTGAACTGAGAGTGAAATAGCAAGGCACAGACTGAATTTAATTTTAAATTTAATTACTTGTATTGAATGTTAATGGAGAGAGTCCAGTGGTCAAATTTGTACTGGTGGGGTGTAATGGGGGTAGACAAGAATGCAAGCATATCATGAAAAATGACTTCAAGGTAATTCGTCACAGCTGTTCCTCCTGTTGTTCAGTCTGTGCTTGGCACACACTGTGCAACTGAGACCCAGAGTCAAAGAGAACAGAATATCAATCAGTCACTTTCCAGATTTGTGTTTAGAAAACCTCTCATCCACTAAATCAAAAAGCTTCTCCCTGGATGAGGGATATTTTCCCTCAGCAGTCTTACTATTGTTACTAATGTTATTCTGTGTGTTTGCGCTGCATTTTAGGGTGTCCTCAGTGCTACAGGCCTGTGGGCAGGAGTCCAGGACATGTCATTCCCCCCTGCTGTATGACAGCCTCAAAGGCCCGCGTCAGAGAACCCATTGTTTCCTGCTTTGAACAGAAAGAAACCACATTTTCTCATTGTAATATACGGGCATTCATGTAAGGAAAAGTATTAACTCGTACACTGTTGTTTTCTGTCGGTGTTTGGGTGGGTTGTGTCAGAAAAAGTCTCACGCGAAGCTAATCACAAGCAGACAAACCAGCATTAATGTAAAGTAGAGATATCTGGCACCTAGTAGTAGTAGTAAAACCTAATAAAAACTAAACTAAAGCTAAACATTTTTAAACAATAAAAACTAAACTGAAAGTAGAAAACCCGCTGGAAACTAAACTGAATTCAAAACAAAAATCAAAAATGAAATAAAAACTAATGAAAAATACAAAAATATAATTTATAGCTTTATAGCGTCTTTGAGCTCATTGTTTTGGTTTTATGGCCCGTAACTTTACTGTTCTGGTTTAAGCTGGGCATACACTGTACGATTTTTTTGGAAAACTGCCCTTTAAAGGACCAGTGTGTAGGATTTAGTGGCATCTAGTGGTGAAGTTACAGATTGCAACTGAGTGAAAACTGCTGGCGTCTGTATTTGACGACCTGGGAATGAGAACGGGCTGTGAAGTCTGTAGGAGACACTACACAGTACACATGATTTTTCTCCATAATTATTTTTTCAAGAAAAATTTGAATGTTTGTGTCCCTTTTTTACCTTTGCACCTCAACAGCTTCACTACTGAGAACAGAACACACCAGTGTGTGGACCCAGCAGCCAGGTGGCTCAAGAGAACATTCAAAGTGTTAAAAGAAGTAAGTTTGGAAGACACACTTTCAGGTAGAAATTTCACAGTCATGACCAAATCCCATTCATGATTTTTGTTTTTTGAAAAAATATATATTCCATATTCCCGTGATAACAAAACCCAAAGTGATGTACAGTTGCGACGCTAAATGTGAATTCCTTCTTCATTATCCACTAATGAGCCTAATGTGTTTTTCTCTCCACAGAATCAGATATGTTGCTCCCTCTTCTGAAAGGTCGGCTAAAATGAAAATGATGCATCACGACTTCCAAAGCAGAAATCTTCCCTTTTTTTTCCCCCTTTAAGATTCTTAATTCACATTGTCTATTGAATTAATACGCATCGGAATATTAGCTGCAGTATGTCTTTGTTGGACTCTGTAACTAATATAATACTTTTGAGTCTTATATGTGCAGTCTTGGTGCCATTACTACATACATATATATGGATACAGACCTTGACAATGTGTGAAAGAAAAATCACAGCCTTCATTTTTAGGAAAAAGAAATGTTTAGAGCCCAGATTTAGCAGCAAATTTAACATTTTCACTGCAATTTAAAGTGTGGTGATATGATGATACTGATGTATCAATGTATATGTACTTGAAACTGTACAGACAACTGTGAAGACAATAACTGTAGGGAGTTTGTGTAAAACAAGTGTTTTGGAGGAATTTTGAGCAGTTTATTTCCTGTGAATATTGATCAGAGATTAATTTTACTGATTACAGTCTGTATTTAGGAGGAATATTTTAACAATTATTCATTATTAAAAATTTGGTGTTTCCTTCTAATTGTTCTCTTTGGTTGTTACTTTTTGTACTTTTCTAATGCAGGATGAGGCTGTTAATCAGAGAGTGAAGACTCTGTGAATGTAAGTAAAGTCATTCCAGTGTGCGGTGGTTTATTTAGTAAATAACAATTTCATTTAGTTTTCTCACAGATATGAATGAAATGCTTTCATATTTTGTGTGTTTTTTTTAAAGTTTTCTTACACCTCTTATATTCAAGCAGGCCCTGAGGAGATACATGAATAGTTAACACATGGAGAAAGGACTAGAACATTGGTTTTTTTAAGTGAACACAAAATGGAATACGTGTATTCCTACAAACTGTTTAATCGTGGATTGAATCCATCCATTTAAATGCAATAACTGACCAGCAGATGTTGCAATTTTGCTTCAAATTCAAAACACTTTGGTCCTCCCGTCACCATCACCATCACTAATAGAAACAACAACCTATTTAAAGTCACTGTTCCTCAGGAGCTTGAGCAATCCTTCAAAATAAGACAAACAAATGCATGTTTAGTGTCAAGCTTCCGGCAGCTGAGAAGAATAAAGCTCGAGTCAATCTTCACACACAGTTTAGTTTAAATACAAAATATTTATTGACATGCCAAAATAGCATCTTTATATATTATACATTTTATCTTATATACACTGCCTGATACAATTATTTTGGAGCCCTGTAACCTCAAACTAAGGCCACAATGCAAACCACAATGTCCTCTTCTCTCCGTCTTAAAGTCTTTGAAGCTATTCCTCTCAGCGCCACACTCACAGCAGTCTCGCGTTGTCACCTTATTAACAGTAAACCGCTCGATGCGTCGAGTTCACAGCAAAACACCACCCTTGCATTTCTGAAACAGCGGCTGTGGTGGCTCAGGGTTTAGTGTCTGTGTCTGCCTGGCTGGGAGGAGGATCCATCAGGTCCTTGAATCCCAGTTTCTCCAGAGGTTCCTTGGTCATCAGCTGACTGGAGAACACACGATAACAAAAGGAATGAGCTCGGATAAAACTGCAGACAGTTCTTGTTTAAAAGCACAACCACAGCCAACTTTTACTGAAGTTTCTTACTGGTCCATGCGGCATTCCAGGTACTCCTTAGACTGCAGTCGGCACATGGAGTTGTCGAAGCTGTTGTCTCTCAGGCACTTCATGAACTGCTCCTTGAAGGCTTTACACTCTCCTGAAATAATAACAACAACAAACACATTCAGCGCCAAGGTTCCAGTCATGTGCTCATACGTTCATACCTTTGTTAACATATTCTCTTCCTATGTTTGTATTTATATGTATGTGTATGATTGTGTATGTATACCTATATGTATATACTGTGTGTATGTGTATATATGTATATGTATTTGTTTGTGAAGCACCTTGTAACTGTGTGTTTTAATAAATGAAGCTTTACTCACTTATCAGTACAAAACAACTCCAACCTAAACAAACAGGATTAACCTTCTACAAATGAAGCAGCGTGGTCTGCAACTTGAGAAACGGCTTTAAACTTGTTCTCGTTTTCTTCGTACAGATTATTGTATCATCCATTAGGGAAGAGGAGCCTTTGAGGAATATGTAGGTTCCTTCAGAACACCGGTTTGTGCTAATAAACAACCTGCTGTGTTCTTCAAACCTCGCAGAGTCTCTGTCTTCCACAGAAACGGAGAGCAACGCGCCCTCGTTACAATGCTAACACACCAGAGGCACAAACGGCGGTTTAATTAGCTGTGAGCTCATTAAAAGCAAGATATTTTTTATATAAAATGGAAGAGAAACGACCATTGTTGCGAACTACAGAGAGCAGAAGCCCTGCTGAACGTGTGGAGTGCAGAATGAGTCGTTGAACCGAGGCAGGCAGGCAGGCAGTGTGTTAGGCTAACACCGTTAGCTCACCCAAATGGTCCAGAGGGAACGAGCCCTTGTCGGGAGGCCGAGGTTTGAAACTCTTCGACCCGAAGTTCATCGCGGTAGACATGTTGTCTTCTTGTTCAACAACAACAATAACAACAATAACGTACAGCAGCAGCAGCCTTGACCCTGTTGGCGACTAAATATGACGTCTGTATCCGCGTCGCCTCGGCAGACAGACATTAGTAGTCGATTGAATCGCATTGGTGATCGATTCACTTTTTCGATTATTAAATAATAAGTCCTAATAATTTATAGAGAAACAACACATGTCCATCAAACTTATTATTTTAAAGATGTAAATCGGGTATTATTTTGTTTTTTAAGTGATTAGTTTAGATTTATAAACTTTAAAAAAGCTTAGCATTAAATGCACACTAATAAAGTAAGTTAGTGAGAAAAGGATAAAATAGCACAAGGGTTATAAAAGATTATTTGTCTGTCTTATTTTTTATCCTTTAATCTAATAACATAATACATTATAAAAGTATATATTACTAGCTAATGACAAAGTTTAAAAAACGATAATTCCTGGAAACTACACTATGTATGTCGATTATTGATATTAATATTACAATGAATGCAATTTTGTCTCATTATAAGTGTTGTACTGTATTCTGTGTTTTTTTAAACTGTAAAACTGTAACTTTAGGTGGAGGCTACCTGCCTCTGCCTGCACTCTATACACTCTATACTATATATATATATATATATGTTTTAAACTGTGCAAAATAAACAAAACTGAAACCTATAAAGTAAATCCTCCACAATATATGACACATTTAAATACTATAATAATACCAGCCTATATAACACCATACTATAATAATGAATATAATATCATACTTTAGGAATATCATATTATGAAGATGCTTAGCGTGGTTGTTTATTTTTATTTTATTATTTTATTTATATGAACCTCTCCTATAGTTCCCCTCTTGTGCGTTAGTCTCCAGTTGTTTTATTCTATATATTTGTACAGTTTTATTCTGAGAATGCTGGAACACTGTTGTTGGAGATAATGACTGTTCAAAGAGTTATAGATTTCTTTTTATTAATTTCTATGAAACGCGTTCTGATGGTCCGCCACTGGATGTCTCACTCCCATAAGATATCAGAGAGGATGGAGGGGAGAGAGGGCAGAGGAGGAGGAGGAGGTAAAGGTGAATGGTAAATATTAGGCTTGATTATTAATGCACGTGGAGTGGAATCAGTAATAAGACTATCAGTGAAAGAGAGAGAGAGAGAGAAAGAGAGAGAGAGAGAGAGAGCGAGAGAGCTTTCCTCCAGCATCGGCTCGGATCGCTCAGTCTCGTCCAGTCTTTCTCCTCCACTTCAGATCGGAGGTGACAGGTGATCGGGCAGTCTGTCTCTCGCTCTGTCTGTTGTCATGTTGCCCTGTCTCTGGCTCTGCTCTTCTCGGACTCCAGCAGCGGATGTTCTTGCCAGGCTTTCTTCCCACCGCGGTGAGGCTGGACGGATAGAACTCACCATGGCGCTGGAACGGAGGGGAACAACCGGTCCTGCAAGACGTGCTGGCGAGACCGGGCAACGAACGTGCGGGAATGCGGCAATCCAGGTAAGCAAAACCTCAACCCCCCCCCCCCCTCACACACACACACACACACACACACACACCACAGACCACAGACTTTATGCAGCCAGTGCATGCAAGGTGGGGAACCCAGCCCACTGGTGCTTCAAAACCAAAGGACTGAATGTGGTCAGTGATATACTGACAAAGGCCTGGCAGGACACATGGAGACCTGGAGACAGCCTCTTCTGCAGGTATAATAGGGCCTGAGAGGCATGGACTTCTGGGCTTAGTCTGAGCCATAAACACATAAACCACTGTGTGTGGTTGTCACAGGTGTGTGAGGTGTACAAAGACATGTCAACTATCCCCCACAGCTATTACTGGTTGTTACTGTGTGTGTGTGGTGTGTGTGGTGTGGTGGTGTTGTGTGTTTCATCGTGTCTACACTGTCAGCATCCTCCAGTCCACACAGCTCGCTCCAGTAATTACCGGTGTGTGTATTTCTTTGTTTACATGTTGTTTTTCATTTGCAGGGACACTCATTTCTCTATTAAGCGGCCCCGTTCCTTTTCTTCATCCCTCCATCCCTCTCTCCATGCGTTCTTCCTTTAATCCCCACCCCTCCTCCCTCTCCTCCACAACCCTCCCTGCCTTTCTTCTTACTGAAAATGGCAATAAACCCAGATGGGAGTGGCCACAGAGGCTCCAGTACGGGCCGTACGCCCAGTGTTTGGAGCCGAGCCCGCCCAGGATGCCTGTTCCTTGGCCCTGGCCGCGGCTCCTCTGAGGACTGGCTGTTAGTGGAGCAGCTTTTGGAGCCAGCGGCGCCCTCGCAAAAAAACATTTCGATGGCTTTGTCTGAGCGGCGGACACTTGAGGAGGGTTTTCATTTTGACCCAGAGGGTGTTATCTTGGTGAGGAATAAGTAAATGGCTCTCGGCGTGGTCGTGTGCTGTGTGAGCTTTTCATCAGTCAAGAAGTTTGAACTTGGTCCAAGACTTTCGATTTATGACCTGCAAAATCACATTCCCATCAGCCTCAGCTCTACTTGGTGTTAAGTGCTAATTAGCCACCTCTGCGCCTTAAGTACAGCCTCACAGAGCCGGCTGCAGACTCTTGTTTTGGGAAAATTATTTTTTCCCAATTACCGCTAACCACATAGCTTTCTTTGACCTTCGGAATAAACTGTTGTGCATTGATCTACAGTGCGTGGAGGAAACACTGGCTCTGATTGTTGCACACTGGCTCTGATTGTTGCCCTCCTGAGATTGCTCATCACTGTTGCTCGGCAGATTTCACCTTTGCCATCATTACATAATCAAAATTTAGCCTTGGTGCGGTGAAGGTGAGACAGATGTTCTGTGTTGTGCAGCAGTTGCAGTCAGAGAAGCTGGTAATTGCAGGGCGACCGATTGATCACAGCTAGGGAAATCTCAGCTGGTGAAGAAGAACTCATGTCGGCTCTCTTATCCCTCAACAAGTGCTTAGATTGCCGAGAACAAGGCACTTTAAACACAACTGCTAGTGAAGGCAGCTTAGTGGTCAACAGCAGTGTATGTTCGGCCGAATCCAGCGGCTGCTTTCTCCCGTGTTTGCATTGGAACACCGGGCTCATTTCGGGAGAGCTGGCTGCACAGAGGAAGAATGTTAGGATAGCCATCCATCAACTGAGCCGTTATCTTTCTTCCCCTTCTCTGCTACCAGATCAGGCATTCCCAGGCTCATAATTCGTATCTCATAATGGTCAAGATATGAATTATTGATGCTGGTTCGGCGGCTCCTTCCCAGATGGGGACAGGATCTTATCTCAGTGGCTTTTTCAGGAAAACATCATAGTTTCATTACAGCTCAAAATACCACAAATCGTCTCAGAAAAGTAAACACACAAACATATATTGTACTGGAGTGGGTGTGAGCTGAGGTTACTTATAAGGACTTAAAGGGATAGTTCTGTTCTGTTTGAAAGTGGTGTTGTATGAGATACTTACCCGTAGTCAGTGTATTGCCTACTGTTAGACGGCAGTCGGCACGCACCTAGTTTGGAGAAGCAGACAGGAGTACCGGCATGGAAGCTAGGCAATTCGGTGCTAAGGGTGGGGGCAACAACAAAACATAGCCACCTAAAAAGGCCCACCTAAAAAAAGAATCAATATCAGTTTATGTAGTGTAGTTATGTAGGTGTAGTGTTTACCTAGCGTTAATATCGATCGACTATGCTCCCTTCAGAGCCACCAGAGTCCTTTGACAAAAACATTTTACCATTGTCATTTTACCTCGCAAAACACAGGGCCCATCCACCGCCCAATCGTGAAATAAGCTCGATGTGCGACTTTGGTGTTTTAACACATTCATTTGGTCTGAACTAACGTTAGCTGCTGCGGATCAAAAGCAGCAGTTTGTAGACCAGCAGCTTCCATGCTCTGCGAGGTAAAATGACTTTTTTTGTGTCTGGTGGCTTTAGAGAGAGCCATATAATAGGGCCATTTTCCCCTTCGGAAAGGGCTGTCTGACAGCGAGGTAAAGTGGTGAAATAAATATAGCGTACACTAATATTGATGTTTTTAGGTGTTTTGCATTTTTTTTGCAATTTTGCAGAATAATAACTATAAGCTGAGGACCTCCAATGTGGCTGACGCGTTACATCACATGAAACCCCTCCAATGTATGCGAATCTGCAGTCTGACAGAGTAAAGACACACTATCACACCATCAACAGTGTCCTGGCTGTCCTCCCTCACTCCTGCCTTATCTTCCCATCACAGATACAACATCCACTAAGCAGACATAAAGCCTGCTCTAATTGGTCTGAGAACACACAAATTGGCAACACCGCCTGTGCATTTTTCGTGCTTAGTCATTCTTACTCTGCCCTTCCATACCTTTGCCTTTTTTCTCCCTATCTTTTTTGTCCGCTGGTGTGCTCAGATGAGACCGCTGAGAGGCAGGGTTTCTCTGTAGCTCAGCAGCGCTGCGGTTCTGCCCTTCGCTAAGGACGCACAAATGAGTTATTTCCTCCAGAGAGAAGCCTCAGCAGTCCTCTGAGGTACGAGGAAGGTGTTTGTTGAACAGCAAAAGCAGCAGGAGCTATGATGACATAGGAGGAAGGTTCAGGCTCATATGGCAGCCTGCTTATGAGTTTCCAGTCTATTTCTCAATGTCTTTTAAGGGCAAGTTTGAGAAAAACTTTTCTTCATTCAAACTGAGATATAACCTTAGCCTTAAAGCAGTGTATTTGCTGTGGGCTTTTATTCTGAAAGCCCTGCCCTTGCACGGATGTTTTATTTGTAGTTTAATGAGAAATATTCAAAACTTACATTTGTAGGCATAGGTTTTCTGGCCATAGCACAGCATTCAACCTTTGTGCCCTCCCCATGCAGTGAATAGACACACTTTATGCTCAAAGCTAGCATTTCACACCATTACTATCCGCTTTTACCCTATCCCCATGATACCTTGTGACTTCTGTTATTCCTGTTACTGAACTAGCGTCTGCAAAAATTTGCATTATGCTACAGGTGTCTTCCCTTTTCTTACAGCTTTTTTTGGGAGATTCCTTATGTGGGGATAACAGCCTGTTACACCTTTAACGATAATACCTCTGTCTTCTACTACCGAGGGATGGGAGGTTGCAATGACACCTCTATTAATATGATGACGTTTCTAGTCAGCCGGTAGCCGAGCAGCTGACCCCAACACACTTCTTGGAAGAGTCTGTGTCAGGGTGTAGGATGAAATCATAAGTCATAACACAGATATATTGCAGGTGTGTGCATAGGAATCAGGAAGAGAGCATGGACACACGTCACTAGTACACAGGGAATCATTTAGGAAACCCAAAAATACCCCAGAATGATTACCTCTCTCTTTCTCCATGGCGGAAGGTAATAAAACTCAAATTGCAGCTACAATTGGCAAGAATCTGGCGATACGATACGTATCACGATACAGGGGTTATGATTCAGTATATTGCCATATATTGCAATACTATAAGCAAGGCCATATATTGCAATTTTTTAAATATCTAACTTAAGAAAAACTGTCATAGTGTAAAAAACACACCACCATATGCATACAATCTGAGTTAAAAGACATTTTTATGGAATCAGATCAGTGGGATCTGCATTTCCCTGTAACATCCAGCGTCATAGCCCTCAGTTTATGTTTACAGCACTGCTATCTAGCTGTTGGGGGTTTAAACACAAAAAATCCATACTGTGTTTTTGAGAATTCATACAATAAACAAAACAAAATATTTTCTTACACCCCTAATACGCAGATCCAATTCCACAGATACAAGTGAAATCCGTAATGCGTATATTACATTTAATGTTGAGAAAACCTTGATGATTTTCTTATAATGGACATTTTTGACATTTTTTAGAGTAAAACTGAAGTCAAATCTGAAGACTGTAACCGCTGTGGAAATGAAACACTTTGCCCGGGCCAGAGGGGTTTAGCCGAGACATGAGAGGGTCACAACCTCAGCTGGACCCGCCGTCCCGTCATTAACCCCCACCATCACGAAGCCGCTGACAGACTGGTGTGTACATACGTCCAGACATACGAATAAACTGCTGCAGATGCAGAAAAGTGCCTGCCAGTGCTGCAGGCACAGGGGCTGCCATTGTGTAAATGCCACCCCCCTCGTTCATTTATCCTGCATCTGCCCTGCAGTGACGCTACAGGCGCTTCTTTCTTCAACCTTGCGCGGCCAAATCAAAAGCTCTGTTGTCTCTAAACCAAACGAGCCATGTAGCTCCCTGACTTCTCTCTCAACAATTCCTCCGAGACAGAGCCCAAGGCGCAGCAGCTCTTTAACAAACACGCCTCAAACAGCATCTGTCACAGAGTCACACTACATCGGGAGTTCTCCACCTCTCGCTCGTTACGACCGTGCATCTGTTGTTCACAGTAATCCTGTTGAGAAACATCTTCTGCGTGCATGTAGAGGAGGAAGCCCTGTGCCTGTGTGTCCATTGGTGTGTGTGTGGTTAGTTAGTCATGCGGCCCCAGTAATCTCCATGAGTGCTGTCTGCTTCTCTGTAAGGCCTGACTCAGACAGCGATGACCTCACCGCTGAATGGCTGGTTGTGTGTTTTTGTGTCAGCAGGGTTGTGCGTAGGTGTGTATTTTCCTGTGTGTATTGCTGGCAAAAAAAAAAGAACATGTTACGGATGAAAAAAGCACGAGGTTTGATTTCTTCACATGAAAGCGCCATCTCGAGCGCTTTGAGCTTGATCACGATCCAGAGGGATTAAATCATGAGTTGACATTTATAGAAATATTGCCTTCTTGTCATGGGTTAAAAGAGATCAATCGAAGGAAGATTATCGTTGATGGCAGCGGCGCCCCTCAGGGGATCTTGTGAGCTCACATCATCTCTCTGCACCATGAGGAACCCACACTCTTCCTCCCTTCCCTTCCTACCGCATCCCTCCTACCTCCATCACCTCCTCATTCCTGACCCTCTCCTCTCCCCTGCTGCTCCCCCGTCAGGCTCTGTGGTATCTCCATCTATGCTTTCTCCAGCCTCAAGAGGACTGAGAAATGCAAGAATAGGTTTTTTTTTTGCCCCCTTTCTCTCCCTCCGTTGGCTCTCTAATGATTCCCTTGAGTGCTACTCCCTCTCACTGTGCGTGCATTTGTGTGTGTGTTCACATGGTCGCGGTGCACCACGCTGTTAGGGCCTCCTTGTGTGAGAAATGGCAGCTGAAGAGAGAGTGAGAATGAATTACTTTTGCATGTTACCCGTTGAGGACATGGTACTCTCTGCCGCTTGTGACCATGCATACACTCTGCATGTTAACACGTGTGCAAATACAGTTTACAACATACACACACACATTCCAACATCATGAATAGAGCCTGACTGATACATTAGTTGTTATAGGCTGATTTTAGCGGTTCATGGTTTAATTCTCAGCTGTAAACATCCTTGTTACAACTATAGCATTAAAGCTGCAGTAGGTTACTTTTATGAAAATATTTTTTTGTCACGATTTTGTGACAGTAGTACAATCTGAAAAAAATTACGTTCCTCTGACTCCTCCTTGTGCTCCTGATGGAATTAGCAAAAATCTATCGGGCCTGAACGAAAATGACTAATCAGAACCGAGAAAGATAGTTGATTTTTAAGTCTCCTTAACAGGGCGTCACGTACCAACAGTGGGACTGAGACTAAAAACTATCTTCAAGCCCCCAACCCAAAGAGTCTTTTCTATCTTTCTCTGCTCTGATTGGCTGTTTTCTGTTGGGTACGATGGATTCTTGCAAATGCCACCAGGAGGAAGCTGATTTTTTCTGTTTTTATCTGCCTCATGTGCTACTGTCAGGATATAGTGAGAATTCTATCAAATATGACAAAAAGTTATTACCATAAAGGTTACCTACTGCAGCTTTAAAGGGATCCTTATCAACAATGTTTATATTAGCTGCTTATCAATCAAATGTCAATATCAGTATAGGCCAGTATTGATAAGGTTTTCATGAATGAAATGCCATGATTATGAACCAAAACGCTAAAGAAGAGAAGATTATTTCATTAGTCAATCAATAGAAAACTAATCAATCATTAATCATTAATCGTTTGTGATTTATTTAGCAACAAGACTATAGTGATTCTAGCAGCTATGAGGCTATATATAGTTGTGCTTTGAGCTAAAAACTAACATGCATATTTTTAGCAGATATATTGTTTACTATGTTAACCATCTTACTTTAGCCTTTTAGCATGATAGGGAACATGAAATTGTGTACCAAATGTCATGACAATTCATCCAATATTTGTTTAGATATTTCAACAAGTTCTAAGCTGCTTAGATCGCCTACACAGATAGAAATGTTTAAAACTTTGTCAATATGGACATGCTACACATCATTAAATAAACAATTTGGTATTTGGTATTTCCCATGTTTAATAAGCAAGAGATTTGTACAAAGGGAATTAAAGGCCTGTCCCATAGACGCTGTTCCAAATATTGGCAGGTTGATTTCAGTTACTGAAGCACATAAAAGCCCAGGCTATTAATTGAAGGCAGAGATTTTTTAGTGAATCTTGTCCTGGAGTCAGGTTTGCCAGCACAAAACAGAGACAGATGGACATCTACAACAGGACATTAATTGTATTTAGTTTGTTGTCTGAATTTAATTGCATAATTCATTATCTTGGAGTTGAACCAGCAGGCATCCTTGAGAAACACACAGAGCTAGGTGAGCAAAATAAATATACTGTGTTTGTGAGAGGGACAGAGGATTTGTGGCTGTAAACTGTTCTGCTAATCTTAGTGTGAGGGATAGGCCGACGACGCTGCTGATTTCATTCAAACTGTGGTCTAATTGTTGACAGCGAGGATGACACTTTTTGTTGCTGGTTTTACTGGGTAGTATCTGGTTTATTAATCTAGCCAGACCCGTGACGTGCGCTCTCCTTGGTACCGAAGTGTTGCCGTTTGGTAGATTACTGTGAGGATTATTGCCTTGCATGGCGTCTTGTTTCTCAGTGGTAAGCTGGTAGTGAAGGCCAGTAACACCGGGCTGGCTGTGGGGATCCTGGTGTGGGTGTATGAATATTCAGCTGGCTCTGTCCAGCTTTGGCTGCTGCAGCAGCAGAACCTGCGACTGGGCAGACTGCACAAAAATATCATAAACTCACTCAGTAGCTAGAAAATAACATATGTTATTATTTCATATGATACATTTATAACTTATAAGATAATGTTTGATATGCCACAAGGTATACAAGCAAAATATAACAGCAAAATTATATGTTACTATATAAATATTTAGTGGTGTTAGAAATTACATGCTAGAATGTGGTGTTTTAAGTATTTTTAGCCCATTGTAAGTTACTACACTCTACACATTCTAAATATTATAGGAATATTATATTAGTAGGCTGCTGGATTAACATGATACACTGTGAACTAGTGTTCCAATTTTTGTATGATTCAATAGGCATACTTCCTTATTAATGATTATATCATTCAGTGTTCTAGGACTGTGGAAAATTGTGGTAGCCATTTTTTTTTTAAATTGCCACCAATTATTTCCTCAGTCAGAAACTCAACTGACAGTGAAAATAAACATTAGTCACAGAAGGAAAAATGATTGTGTAATCCATATTTGTATATGACTTAATAGCAGCAGTTTTTAGCCATGTCATGCTGATGTTGATTTTTTCTCCATAAGGGGGGTTTACATTACGATGATGATACCTTTCAACATTATTAATGTCATATTATGAACAAGAAAAAAAACACTATTCACTGAATCAGGTTGCGTGTGATTGATTCAACCGTTAATTATTTGTTTTATTAACCAAATAATTGATCTATGAAGTGTCAGAGAATGGAGTGCAACAGGGTGACATCCAACCAAGTGTCCAAAAGAGATCGATATGACATTTTATGTCAGTTTCAGTTATATAAAACACAGACAAACACAAATGACTCATACTTAAGGAACTGAAACATTGTTTTACTTTGATTCCCTTTATATAAACCACAAACAATTAATTTTCTATTGATTGTCTGATCTATTAATGGACTAATTATTTCAGCACTCTATTTCATTATATCTTGACCAGGATTGTTTGTCATTTATCGTTACCAGTGAGCCAACTTGCGCTCTGTTGTGTGTTATGCTTTCTTTTTATTTACCCACTGAACTTCAGTTTCCCCCAATCAGATTATTTCTGCCATCAGTGCAAAACTCCAGTCTACAGTTTCATCTCTCGCTCCCTCATTTTCTGACACTCTGTTCTGTCGATGTCTCTGACACACTGCGTCTCTGACTTTGATAACGTCATTTGCATGGACAGAATCAAAGTGTGATACAGTGACTCAAATGTACCTTTGCTGAACACCCACGGATGCTGCTACTGAATCACGCTGCAGAGAAAAAAAACACGTCTATTTTTCTTTCTTTTTTGCGCATTCTGTCTGTCTGCTGTTGGTTTTCCTAGCGCTGTAGCCAAACCGTGTGTTTAGTCACATGCTTGTGTTGGCAATAAACAGCATACGGTCTGTTTAGAGATGGTGCACAGGTGTGTGTGTGTGTGCATGCATGCCAGAATGTGTGTGTGTGTGTTTGCACTTTTCTGTTTTTCTCGTCTCATTTTAAAAGTATAAAATATTGCATGAGCGTATAAATGTGAGCGTCTATATCTGCATGCATGTGTGCGCATTTTGGACCCTGGTGATGTAACTAACCTGATAACAGCCTCGGCTGAGTTCTGATCAGATCTCAGGCGGTCTGTTTCCTGTCAGTAGGCTAAATAGGATTTCCCCAAAATCACATTCTGCCGCCCTGCTCTCCTTTACGAGCGGGGACACACTCTACCAGAGTCCCTTGTAATATTTGCTTCATTTAATTTGCTCCTATTACCTCTTAACAGTGCCAGCATCAGCACTTTCAGTATTTATAGCCTGAACCTTGAGCTGGTGTTCTCTTTGTTGCAGCGCTTTTTTATGACAAGATTTTCTCACCCCTCCTTTTTTTATCTCTCTTCTATCTCCATCACCTTTCTCTCTATCGTCCTCCTGCACTGCTTTGCCCGATTTCATTTCCTCTCCCTTCTCTCTTTGTGCCAAAACCCACTTCCCCTGCTTTCACCCCCGTGCTTTTTCTCCCTACGTCATCCCTCTTTCATTCCCCGCTCGCCTCTCCCTCCTTCCCTCCCTCCCTTTCTTTCTCTCTCTCTCCCTCTCTCTCCTGCAGAGCCGGACTGGGCGTCGCTGACTTTGGGTGTGTTTGTTTGCCAGGCCTGCTCGCTCCTTCACCGGAGCATCCCCCACATCAGCCGGGTCAAGTCTGTGCAGGACACATGGGATGCCAGTGAGGTGGAGGTAAAATCCCGACGAAAACATGCGCACTTCCAAAATAAAAGAGCACTTCCCCTTTCTCTCAGTGACATTTAATATTTGACTGGTATCATTTTACTTCATTCCAGCAGTCGAATAGATATGCCAACATCTGAGACATTGGGCCTCATGCAAGAACATCTTTGTAATCTTTTATTTATTGCTTTGTATTAATGCACTTAAAGCTCATAAATGCCACCTGTTCATGATCAGGTGTGTGTTTGTGAGGCACAATCCCTGCCCCTAAATTGCCATACAATGCTCCCTCTTCTGTTCTGTTTATGGGCGAGTTTCCTTCATTATGTCACCAAGGAGTTAAAGGAACTTCACACCACTGAGCTGTATGTTCTGCTGTCAGGAATCAGCAGACCACAACAGTTTTAGTAGTCGTATTTGGGCACCCGAAATAATACAGCTTGCATCGGTGTTGCACCAAAGCAGCTGATGGAGTGAGAGCATCACTTTTTCTTAAACCACTGGTTCGTTCCACTTAAAGGAATAGTTTACATTTTGGGCGAATAGTAACAACGGGTAACAATCTGCTCAGCACTTTTAAGGGGCCTACTAATTAACACGTTCTATCTTTGTTTAATCCAGACAGTGTTTTGCATGTTTCACGGCCACCGTAGTTTCTCCTTTGTGCTTGGAAGGAGAGGGTGAAGAGGGGGAGTTGCAATCGGCAGCTACACTGCTAGATGCCAGTAAATCCTGCACACTAACTCTTGGCAGGAAAGCAAAATGTGGAACTGTGCCTTTAAGAACAAAACTGTTTGCACAAGTGGTTCATGCACAGGCCAAATATAACGTGATGAACGGTGTCCAAGTTCTTAAGTCTGCATACTAATTGTGTGCAAATGCCAGTGCGTGCAACATAAGAATGCATATTTAGTATGTGAATGGGGTGAATATGCAAACAATACAGACAAAGAATATTAAGTCTGGAGCCCATGGTAACAAGAGAGTGTACAAATGTACCATTATTTTTTTGTTGCTATGGAAACGACCCAGTCTGGGGACATTTTCTTAACAATATGACAGAAAGTAAGGCAGGATGAGGAAACATGTCACTGAAAGAAAGGCAAAGTGATGGTGATGCTTTTTTAAACCCGAAGCAGCTTTTTGCACTGCACTTGGAGGTCTGTGGTGGAGGTTTTTTTTTAGTTTTTAGGAAACTGGAGAATAATGGGTTACAGCAAGGATCAGAGTTTTATCTGGCTTAATATACCCAGCATCAATCAGTTGAAGATGCTTTGATTGGCTCTGATACCAGCGCCTCAAGATATCTATAGTCCTTGCGCAGGACAATGACTTCTTATCTGCTCAAGAACATTGATCTTTAGCTGACCTCCCTTTGGAAGGAGAGAATTTCCTCACAGGGATCAATAAAGTATCATTCCATTAGGACAGTTTTCTCCTGTGTGTAAAAAGAAGCTGAGCTGTTGCGTGATTTACAAAGGAGCCGACAAACAGAAATACGTCAGCAAGAAATATGAGTTCTGTGCAAAATTGTAAACACAGAAATACGTATTTTTTAGGTTTTGCTCTGCTGGGGAAGCGAGAAATTGTCCCTTGAATGGATCATGTCAGCGCTTTAACACCACCGCTGGGTGACAAAAAGGACTTTGGGGGAGGTGATGCCGATGTGAGTCATGATGAAAAACGGGAGGTTGGAAGTGTGGGAGGACAATAATTGGGATGTAATGGGGATTTGACTTAAGGGGAAAGTGGGGAGGCAGTATGAGGTGAAATGCGACAACAGTACAAGAGCATTAGGAGATTGGATGACTGGATTTGATTGCAGCGTAGGAAAAAAGGGGAACAAGGGCCTTTGTGTTGTCTGTGTTAAATCTGTCTGTAATTGTAGTATTGGGAGAGTTTAGGGGTGATTTTGAAATACTAGAGCTTATTGTTGAGACTTCTGGAGCTGTTGTGGTCCCCCTCCAATAAAACATCCACAATCAGAGGAGACACTTTACAATAGAATCCAGTTTATTAGCCGCACCTAGCTAATACTGGGTAGGAGCGTCTTGGGTATAACAAGGTGCCACAAACGCCTAATGACGATAGGTCATTAGGCGTTCTCAGACCGGAGGAACTTTTTTATAGCTCCTACTTTTGATTAGGTACTCTCCCAGCTCAAGAGCGCCTGTATAGTTCTTGGGGGTGCTCCCCAGTGGGAAGTTCCTCTCAGGGAGTTCCCAAACTGTTTGGTCTTGAGATCAACTTTTCTTAAAATAATCTGAAGAATGGCTTCATGCCTTGTGAAAGCACCTAAACGCAATCATAGTAGCCTTAAAATAGGCTATATGGCTATTGGTAATATGGCTGATAATCAAACAGTTGTCAAACTAAGAACAATACAATAATTTGACATTTTAAAACAAGAAAAGCATTCAAAAGTACATTTATGAGAAGATGGAACACACTTAAAACCAAGCGGTAACCTCCATGGCTGGCAAATGAAGCCAACACGGAAGTAACAAAAGCTGCAGTTCCTCTAATGACCACTTGAGGCTGGCTCCAAAAGTGACTCAATCTCTATAAGGTCCCATATTAAAATGCCCAACTTTACAGCAGAAATAAACATGTTAACAGTGGTACAAAAAATATAAAATATATTAAATATATTCTATAGCTAATTTCACCATTCATGATAACTATACAGGGCTAAGTTTTATATAACCTCATTGTGATTTTTTAAAATCTTTATCTTAGTTCTTATTTTGTTTTCCACAACGACCATATTTGGCATTCTGTATGTGAATGGTCCACTACGTGCACGAGTAGATGGATGTAAAACAAATGAATATCCTTCTTATTGTGTGATGGTGGGGAGAAATGAGACCCCAGCTCTTGCTTTTATACGATGCCACTGTAAAGAGGCAAAATCAGACTTCTCAGTCTCATTTGTTGTTGCCATGTAAATCACGTCATCATGAAGATTTGGTTATATTATTGAACAGTAACTGAATGTCATGCTCTGCAGACGCCTGCAACTCACAGTCTGGAATAGTAAGCAGTTTAGATAAAGGGAAGGGTAACCAAATGAAGTGGATACTGAGCAGAGGTGGTTATGCAACACTTTCCTGATCTTTTGTTTTGATGATACTGATATCATGCTCTAAATGTCACCTCCGAAGTGTCAGATGCGTCACATTTTGGCAGCAGGTGTGTCGCGTGTTTTTCCGTGACTTTCTTCAGAGGTTTGTATTTTGGTGGAATTTCTGCCGCTATTTGACCTTCACAATAAAACACCACAGTGCTACATCCCTTCCAGAGCCCCTTAGAGGATAAGAGAGGCGTGTTGAGGGATTCAGCCAGCTGGATTGGACTCAGGGATTATCCTTGGATGAAACGACAATGGAGGGAACGAGGGCAAAAGGCAGATACGTGCCATTTCCGCTATTAATCCTATTGCAATGCAGGGGCCTCATTGTCAACTGAAGACATTCTGTCATACTTAAGATTTTCTATGCCTGTCTCATTTAAAGTTTAATGTTATTTTCTTCTTCCTATTGTAGTTTTGTTGTCACCATTCTTTGGGTCTTATATCCTTGAAATGGCATGGCTGCTGTTATGTAAAAAGTGTTTCCTAGTGGCATTTTATTTTATAATTCTTATTTTACAACGTCTTTTAGGAGCAAAGATGTTGGATGTTTTTATTTGATATGATTTTATTTTGAAATGTGTTATTACAAATTGCACAATTTCTGTAAGATGTAAAAATACACAGTAGAATATTATTTATGGCTGGTTCCCAAACACTAAAAAAGTATTGCCAGAATAAAATACAATGCCTATCAAATGTCGCTGGTTAACAACATGGTTAAATATGCTGTTAGATTAAATTTGACATTTTAAATGCAGCAATGTCTGAAACTACTGTATATTGTACTGAGGTGATATTGAGGTGATTTTAGATGACCAGGTTGCGTTGTCTTGTCTTTTTCTTTCAGTTGATGGCTGCAATGGGAAACAATGCAGCCAAGGCCAAATATGAGCAGAAGGTCCCTGCTTTCTACTACAGACCAACACACACTGACTGCAAGTAAGTACTCGTCCTTTCAAAGCACGAATAATGCTGCAACTTTGTATCATACACAGTATAACACAGTAATAACTGACTAGGCTAACTGAGCTGACTCCCACTACTACTAGTGTTTTGGAGCACATACTAGTGTTAAAGACGGTATAGTACAATAGATTTAGTGCCAATCTACCTTATAACAATATGAACTTTACAACTATCTCCTTTTTTTGCGTAGTTATTACATATTTTGTCAGTCAGTTCTCCACTGAACTTTCATAATGACACCAGCATTCCCATGAAGGTCAATGTTTGTGTGTCAATGTGTAACATAACCTTTGTTGGACAAAATATCAAAGCTGACTTACAAGTTCACTTATGTTTTGGCTCCTGTTTCCTCCTTTATAAGCTGTAAAAATATTAGTGTGTCCTTTTTGTGTTCTATTTCCCAATATGAAAAGCACAGCCGTAAATAATAAAAGTAATGCTGGCTGAATAGAACGGAGCAAATATTAATATTATCAGTAACACCTGTGCTTTTGTGTACTGTGAAATAGGCCTAAAGATCATGGATGTATTAGACAGTGGTTTCCAACCTGGGGGTCGGGACCCACTAGGGGTCACCAAAGCCTTACAGGGGGTCGCGAGGCCTAGTGTTTAAGAAATTTTAAAAATACACAGTGGGCCTATACCTCAGCATTTGATTCACTTCTGTGAAGAAAAGTAAAATAAATTGTCTCCGAAAAACGGCCAAGAATGAGCGACAAGAAAACACTCCTTTTACACAAACTTTTAGTCTGTTAGTGAGATCACCATTTGGGTACCTCTATGTGAAAAGTGTCCTAAGATAACCTCTGTTATGAATTGGCACTATACAAATAAAATTGAATTGAATTGGGTTCATTGCACAGTTTTGAATATAATATGAAAAATCCATAAAATGTGTCACATAAGCAGGGGTAGTCAGTTTAATAAAAGATAGAAGAGAGGTCCCCTAAAGTGTTGACCTAACACCCCAAACTGCTTAGAAAAGCTATATCTATTTGTTTGACCATTTACATTGCCATGTCAATGTAAAGTCTATGTACAAGGCATGGGTGGGGCCAGCAGGACAAACTCTAATGCACAGTGGGCCGCACAACTGCGCAGGCAAATTTTTTTCGATTAACTGGGCGCCATCTTTGAGCTAAGTATCCATTTCTTATAAAACACCCATGATAGAGGTTTGAAGGGGATCAGCCGCTGGTTTGGAAGTGTTTTCCCCCCATTCTTTATTACCATTAAAACATTTTTTATAAACGATATCGTCAGTTTTACTAAAGACAGAAGCACAGAACTCTGCCAGATAATGAAACAATCGAATATGTTTATGTTATGGCCACCTTTAATGGGCGTGAGGTTGGACCCAAGAACAGCACAGACTGAGACCAGCGTTGGAACAGTTCAACAGTTTATTGTCC